CTGCTGGTGTGTCGGCCGCTCCTCCCAGTTTTGTATCATCGGCTAACTTGCTGAGGGTACGCTCTGTCCCTTCATCCAGGTCATTGATGAATAAGGCTGGACCCAGTACCGACCCCCGGGGCACACCACTAGCTGCAGGCCTCCAAACTAGACTCTGTGCCGCTTACCACAACCCTGTGAGCTCTGCCATTCAGCCAGTTCTCAACCCACCTCACTGTCCACTCATCTGACCCACACTGCCTAAGCTCCCTAACACATCTACCCACACAGGAAACCGGTGACATGTGGGCCAGCACACAGCACAGGTCACCGGGGGAATGACAGTCTTCACACGAGCACTGTCTCTACATGAGATTTTAAGGATATGCTGCTGGTTTCTAAGAGTGTCCCAGAGACCTAAAAGCAAAGGCAGAAATGCCTCAAGTGCAGAGTAACAAAGCCCACGAGATGGAGGGTGTGCCGGTGATAACCTCACATCTGCTTCACTGAATTGCCATACTGCTAGACAAGAGGAATGTTTCCATTTTGTAGCCTCATGAGATAAAGCCAAGGAAGGTATAGGCTGGCTGCCTCCAGCTGAACTCACCTCTGGGATCTCTGCTCAAGCACGGACAGAAGAGCTGAAACAAGAGGATCCCAGGTCACAGAATAGTCCTATAGTTCAGAGAAACCAGAGAGAACAATGTGTCTCTGAGAGAGGCTGTCCCATTTGGTGGGGCCCATCCTCTGCCACACACAGGTACCACTTCAGACTCTGGCAAGCTGCATCTCCCGCCACTGGAGCTTAGCAGGAAAGTTTGGGAATATCTCAACAGCTTTTGGGTCTCTGCACCCTCACCACCATCCCAGTTCAGCACAGTCTCACTGTGCTGGCTTCTCACCTGCTGCTTCTGTGGTCTGGGAAGTCCCAGGGAAGAAGCCTGGGGCCTGGCTGGGGCAGTCGCTCAGGTTTCTTCATCCTTGTCACCTCCTGTGGTGGTTGAGTGGCAGCAGCTCAGGACTGTGAGCTGATCTCAGGGTCTCTGTGGACGCTGGTAGTGGAGCTCCAGCTCCCAGCCAGACATGGTGGCCCGGCCTAGAGTGCACAGGCAATACCCCTTGTTGTACGAGCTGTTTTCCCCTTTGGCTGTACGAACTTGCCAGGTATTTCATAATAAAGAACGCAGGTATTTGAGGATGACGCATGAGGCATCAGGTCCACCTGGACTGAGAGTAGGTTGTGCGTGCCATAGTAAAATCTCAAACGCATGTGTCCAAGGATGAAGCTGTCACAGTATAACAGCAAAGGGAGATCTTGCTGGCTCAGCCAATACAATATATCACCCTGCATCGTTTCCTCCCCCTCCATCCTAATAGTTGCCATTGACAGCTGAAAATTGAATGTGTTTCTGGAAGAGAAGGTGAGGAAGCCAGTCTCGCGCTGGGCCCCCTGCCCAGGGAGAGCCCTCTGCCCTGTCCCTCCTGCACGTGTCTCAGCAAAGGGTGTTGGTCACTGACCTGGTCAGGCCACGAGAAAGGGCCCAGCCGGAGGTCAGGAGGGGTGAGCAGCTGGTGGTATGGGAGCGTTGCCTGGCTGTGGTGGTGCAGCTGAGCTGCTCAGAGGAGCCTGCTGCTCCTGCCTGCTGCGCACATGTGCTGCTATTATTTGGGCTACGGCATGAGTCTGACTAAATATCCCCCACGATGCCAACTGCCTGGTCTGTTACCTTGCACACTAATGCCGGTGCTGTAGGGCGCTTGATCCTGAATGTCGGGGAGCCCCCTCTCCCCACTCAGGGCTGTTGTGTGAGTCCTGTGTCTGCTGGCATCCAGAACGGGCAGTCCGCTGCTGCCCACCACCGCCGTGCCCCACTGTCACAGAAGGGCCTCTGGAAGCAGTAAGGACACGGGACCGAAGCCGGAGCTGGTGGTGGCATTAGCAGAGTAGCTGTTGCTCAGTCTGGGTACCAACCGCTGTCACTCCTAACTGACTGGACTGGCACTTGCTGGGCAAGCACCAGGCTGCAGCGCTTTAGCAGTGCCTGGATTAATTTCTGTGCTTTCAAGGAGACAACCGATGCGGTGGTTCGACCCCGCTCCCATAGCCGCACGCGAGTGCTGTCTTTGCTGTGGTTCTGCTTTCTGCCGCCGAGCGGTAACTTCGGGCTGCGTGGCGTTCGGGTGCACTGACTGCAGCTTGGTGCGTTCCAGGTGAAACCTTTGTTCTGGGAGATGGGCTCCCAGGGCCCCTGGAGCCTCGCCTGGACCCCATGGACTCTGCCTTGAACTCTGTCAATTCATCCAGCCACAGCAGGAGCTCCAGAGACTATCGCCTGCAAGGATACAGGCACCTGCACCAACCCTCTAGCCTCACCCAGGGCAGTACCTCTGCCTTGCGTAGGCTTAGCTCTGGGGGTAAGAGAGTTAAGAAGCCAGCCCTCCGATTGTAAATTTGGCAATAAAGGGCTTTTCTAACTCCAGTTACACCTTTCTAACTTCAGCAAGTACCAGAGACTGGCTTCTACACTGTTAAACAGGTAGTCTGTTAGGTTTAATGGTAGCTCTAGAGACATGGCAGATGGGCGGGTGGAAATATGGAGAGGTGACGCTTGTAGAGTCGCTTGTTTGGCGTGATGGCTAGGTGGGACCTGGAGGTCAGTGGAGAGGAAGGAGCAGGCAGGAGCTGAGCTTGCGAGCACGGGCAGGGGGCTGTCAAAGCGCTAAATGGGTGTCTGAGTCCGTGAGGATGGATTGGGAACGGCCAGGGAGTCAAGACGTGCCTGATGATGGGGTGGGTGGCCAAGAGCATGGGTGGGTGCACGAACGGCACCTGTCTGTCTGGAGGAGTAGGGGCAGGAGAGCTGGTCACTGCAGTAAATCAGCATGTGTCAAATCCAGGTGTTTGCAAAAAAAGTTGTACTTCTAGGTGCATGGCATTGATAAAAGCCTCTAAAAAGCGCAGGCTGCTGATGCCTTGATCCGTCTGCCTCCCCCAACGGCTGTGTATGCTGGCAGAGAGCTGGAACAACGGGCTGTGCCGATGCCGGCACGTTGGGAGCAGGACTCTTGTTAGCTTGGGCGGTGCTTCAAGGCAACAGAATTTCGCATATGGGCTCAGTCCATCAGAGAACGCAGCTGATGAAAACACGAACCAGCTTTGCCCTGTTAAAATTGCTAAAGGTGGTGTTCGGAGCAGGGGAGCGAGGGGATAATGGTGCCTGGGCAGAGAAGTGGGAATGGAGGATTGTTCTCTGCAAAGGTGGGAACCATCAGCAGATGGGCAAGGAAGACTGGGAATGGAGGGGGGCCAAACTCAGCTGAAGGGGGGGCAAGGGGAAATTGGGGTTTAGAGGGAGGGAAAGGGCTTAATATAGAAGGCTGCCCCAAAAAGTAAGGCCTAAGGAGAGAGAAGAAGGCTTCAGTGCTAGACCTGTGCCGCCGGAATCTCTGCGGCACGGTTGGGACGTGCCCTTCACATTGTCTCTGCCACTGCTTTGAGAGAGGAGACCGAGTGATAGATTAAGGGTGAATAAGAGCTGGAGTGTGGCTGTGGGGTACGTGCAGTAATGGCTGCTGTCTCACAATCCCCCAGGTTCTGACAGATACCTCGGATCTCGCGACGTCTCACGGCTCAGCAGCCGTGACCCCTCGTCCTGGACAGTGGAGGAGGTGATGCAGTTCATACGAGAAGCGGATCCTCAGCTGGGACCCCACGCTGACCTCTTTCGAAAACACGTATGTCTGTATATGTATATATTTGTGTGTGTGTGTGTATATGTGTGTGTGTATGTATATATTATGTATGGGAGGGGGCAGATCATCACACAAGGAAAATCTGGGAGAGTCAGTAGAATGGCAGCACTTTGTTCCAGCTGGAGTTTTGTGTGAAGAAAGATATCCTCATAAATCCTGCTCATACCGTGTTCAGGCTTGGGATCGCCAAGGGGAAGCCATCACAGCCCAGCTAAAGCTCCAAGCAGCGCTGCCTTTGTGCGTATGGAGAGCTCAGCTCCAAGATGGATTTGAACCCTAGCGCCAAAAACATGAAGCCTTGTTCATCCTGGAGTCTTAATATTCACCTCATAGCAAATTTCTCCTGGCAAGAAACATGTTCCAAGTGGAATTCATTGAGCGCGTTGCTGCTAAACTCCCCTGTTTCCTATAAAAAGGGGTCTTGGTTCTTGTGCGTGTCTTTAAGAGTAAAATAGCTGCAGACATACAGCACGAAGTTTGTACAATTAAAGCTGCAAAAATTTTGGCAGCTCCACATCCTGATTCCTGCCAGACAGTTCATCTTCCCTCTGCCTTTTGATTCAGTCCATGTTATACATGCTGGTGCTCATGAAGTCAGAAGAGCAGTAGGAGAAAATACCCTTCTTCCCCAGGCAGGAGAGGTGGATGGGATGTTTCTTGCTCTGTGCTGGGCTCAGACAACACTCTTTTTTTTTTTTTTTTTTTTTAAATTAGCTCTATTTTAGAACCACCAGTAATTGAAAAATGTTTTGTTTTAATTATGTAAGAGAGTGCTCAGCTCTGCTAAGGGGTGAAAGTTCCCTGTGTTGGCAATCCTGAGGAAGAACTTCACTTTCATTTGAAGAAGGGAAAAGTAGAACAAACCTGGTGCTGGAGATTCCTGGAGATCTCACCAAGTATGAACATAACCAAGCATTGGCATAGGACAGGATTTTCTGTTGTTAGAGGTTGTGATTTATTTTTTTTTTCATTTAGAAGTCCATTAATGGAAACCTGTCCACTGCAAAGCTCTGGTCAAGGAAAGGAGTGTTGCAAGGGACTGGAAAACTTCCAGTCGCAGATGCTAAGTGCAAAGCTGTTCTTTGGTTATTTTGAGCTTCAGGATCCCTCCCCTCCTGAGCCTCAGTGAAGGCACATCTGGCTCAGCTGTAAAGCACCAAATACTTTTGAAAGCTGTGATTTTGAAATCAGCCCTGCTGCAGATGAGATGCTCCACCATTGCTCTGCTAGCTTCTGGGATTTTGCTTAGAAACTCCAGAAATTTGCTTTGCAGCAGTGGCAGTCTCTCTGGGTTTACAGGGTTTGGTCCCTTGCTGCCTTCTCCAACCTTGACTTCAGGGCTGCGAGTGTGGTGGCAGGACTGCTGCAATGGATGACAATACCCTCGAGTAAGAGACTGCTCCCCTGCACAGCTGCTGCCTCGACCGTTCCCCTCTCAGGGAAATCTCTTTTCCTTCCTCCCTTCAGGATTTGCTGACCAGCTGGACGTGGCTTCTGGGTGTTTCACACAGCAGATTTCCCACCGCCACGCAGGGCTCTGAGGCTAAACCCCATGCTGCGGGCAGGGCGGGATGCAGGGATGCCCACGCCGGGATGATGCAGCTCCCACACCCAGCCGTGCTGCTTCAGCTGTCATCGTTTTGGGCACAGCACGGCTCAGTGGGCAGGGTTAGGGCTGCCAGGTGTGTGCGGCTGGTGGTACTCATGAGCTTGTTTTCCCTCCTTGCAGGAGATCGACGGGAAAGCCCTGCTCTTGCTGCGGAGTGACATGATGATGAAGTACATGGGGCTGAAGCTGGGGCCAGCCCTGAAGCTCAGTTACCACATTGACAAGCTAAAGCAAGGCAAGTTCTGAGAGGACGCTTGGCAGGACGGATCCTGGAAGCTCCGCTCCTGGCCATCCA